AGAAGTAGAGAAGTGCGTGTGGGATGTGCTGGGACTCACTGCGTAGTCCTGGGCCGCTCGCCCGCTCCCAGTCATACACACTCCTGCACCTGAATCTTTTTTAATGGAATTTATTGTCATCACATTGGTTAATAAAATCTACAGGTTTAGGTGTACAATCCCATAATACGTCATCTGTACATGGTATTTGCACCCGAATCTTTAGAGGAGGAAGGGGTGGGGTGCAGAGTCCAGGTTTGAATGAAGGATTTTCTTAACGAGCTTAAGGTCGTATCCCAAAGGCTTCCTGCATCTATACCTTCCACACTCGACCTGCAGCTCTCCCCCGCCCCCCCACACACACACTCAATGCCTGGTGCACAGTAGGTGCTCAGTCGTTGCACTGCCCGTGCAGGGGGTGACACCCAGGCTGCCTCAGGCAGAGGTCAGGAACAGCCATGTTGGAGAGAAGGCACCCGTGCCTGACGGGGCGACACTGAGGTGCCCAGCAGAGCCGAGTCACCGACATCACCCGGATGTAGCCGTCACCACATCCCAGAGAAGCAGACACCTCGCTCCTGACACGTGTCCGCAGTGCTGTCAGTGGCCGCCCGAGGACAAGGCCTCCCTGAGGTTCCCCTGAAGCCGTCTGGGACAGGATGGCTGGCACAGGCTCCATCCAACACCCTGGGTGGGCTCCCCTGCCTCCCTCCATTCGCTGATCCCTTCTCTTCCAAAGACGTTTTAATGAACATCTGAATTATTTACCGTGACCACAGGCATCGCATCCCAGGGTTTGGTGACCCAGTGAATAAAATAGGCGCGTGTTTCATCAAGTGGAGGCTGTGTGTGGGGACAGAGGTGGGAGGTGCACACAAGCTCCTTTGTCACAAACCTTCTCTCAGATCCTGTTGTGACGAGGAACCTTTGAAATGCAAGGGCCCGACATTCCAAGGCGCTGGGACATGTGCCCGCAGAGAGGAGCAAGGGGAGGTCTGAGAGATGCCCCGAGGCCTGGCTGTGGGCACACAAGTTGCTTCAGGCATTACAGGAGACCAGAGAGTCCCCAGCATCACTCATTACATCCAGATGCAAAAAATAAATGCACTACTTCTCTATGTTAAATTTTGACAAGAACCCATGCTGCTCTAAGTCCAGATTCCCTATTAAAACCTCCATTTCATTGGTGAAGGAAATGAGGTCAGACTGAATAAATAACTTCACAGCCACAGAAAGGCAACTTAAATCCAAGTCCAACTCCAAACCCTATTCTCTTTCTCACCAGTTAACCAACCGGAAGTTGGAAGAAAGAATCGGGAAAGGAGAAGAAAACCATGAAGATGAGACACACACAGTGAGAAGTGATGCGCTCACACCGCCCGCGTCTAAGCCGCGCCTGGACGCTCCCTGACGTCACTGGCAGCTGAGGGGGAGGGCGTTCCGAGAGGTTCTTAACACCCTCAGGCTCCAGTGGTGAGATGAAATGCCAACGAAAAATGATGCAAAACATTTGCAAACAACAGAAGTGAAATTGTGGCTTTGTTTCACCTGTATACTCTAACTATGAATTTGATATTAGTGACCATATATGGCTTTTGAAACCAAGAAAATGTTCCTTAGCATGGAGCAGGACGAGTGGTCTCACATTCGTAGTTTACTGAGGACCAAGGTAGCAATGGCTGGTTAACAGCCCTTATTCACCAGACTTGGGTCTTGGGAACCCCTAGCCTCCAATAAAATTAAATGGCAGAACATAACCTTGTGCCATCGCTGCGTATCCTAGAGGAATGAAGGCAATGCCCCCAAATGGTCCTGCGATAGACATGGGCAGTGTCCGTCACAGCACATCACAGACTCACCCGGTTGTCTGCCGAACCAAATGCAGGAGAGTTTAAAGAGCAAGCGGGGAACACTCTCTTCTCTAGGTCACCAGGGCACGGTACTTGTCTGAGTCCCACCCCGGGCACTGGCCCCCCATCAGCACCTCCTCTCTCCCAGGTCTCGGCACTGGAGGCTTTTATACTTGGTCCCTCCGGAGATGACATCATTGAACCACGTCTCTCAATCCCGACTGAGGGCAGCTGCAACATCCCTGTCTCAGCCTGGACCAGGCCACTGACGTCCTCTCCCTACTTGGTACCTGTGCCTGGAGGACTGTGCACATGTGAAACTTCTGTCCAGACCAAACTCCTGCTCTTCCCTCCAACCTGATGGTGCTGTAGTTCCCTCTCATTCAAGGGCAGCTCCGTATTTCTAACTTCAGGCTCAGAACTTTGGGGTCTGTCTCACCCACACACCCAATCCACCAGCAGATCCTTTAAAATAGAACCAGTACCAGTACCTCCCTCTGGGTCAAAACACCACCACCTCACACCTGTTGCCTCCAGCTCTGCTCACCCATAGTCCACTTCTCACAGAGCAAGCAGGGCAACCTTTTCAAGACAGAAGGTGGATTGCGTTCTCACTCGGCTCTATATCCAGCAATGCTTTTCTGTTCCACAAAAAGTAAAGCAAGTCTTTACAATGACCTGCCAGGTTGCACAAGATCTAAACCTCATTCCTTCTCTGTGCTCCTCACTTCAGCGCCTCCCCACACACTTCCGGTCCCGCTA